CACAGTAACTATGGGAGGTAATGGATATGTTAATTAGTTAATTAGTTTGATTGTGTATATATTCACAATGTGTGTGTGTATATATATATCAAAAGATCACATTGTGTACACTAAATATACATGATTTGTATTTGTTAATCATACCTCAGTAAAGCTGGAAACATTTTTTTCAATTAAAATTGCCTCAGGAAGTAAAAATGAGAATTATTATAAATGTTTAGTAAATGTCAAGTGCTATATTCATGGATAGCAAAATGTATTTATAATGCAAAAAACAACAAGAAAGAACATAAGAAGTGAATTCATGCTCTCAGCCCTCCCCAAGCTCCGCCCTCCCCGAGGTCCCAGTGTTCTCGGCCTCTTTCTGTCTCTAACTTTCCACAGACCGAGGTCCCTGGGCCCTTCCCGTAGCCTTGCCCTCTGGTCCTGGGAGACAGCCAACATGAATGGAGTCACGAGTGCTTATATCTTCAGCCAGGACTCGCCAGAATGTTCTTATCTTTCTCAGAAAATGGGTTTTTTCTTGTGCAATGTAATGTTCTACTGCTCCTGTCTCCCATTTGAAAAGTAGCAGGTGCCCATTATAAAAATCTTCCAGTTTAAAACATTTTTTAAATCTTCTTTTAATCTTTTTTAGTGTTACATAAGAGCTGTACATATTTTCAGGGCATATGTGATATTTTGATACATTGCTATATTGTATAAAGGTCAAGTCAGGGAATTGGGGTATCTGTCACCTTAAATATTTATCTTTCCTTTATGCTGGGAACATTTGAATTATTCTCTTCTAGCTATTTCAAGTTGTGCAATAGATTATTGTCAAGTATGGTCACTCTATAGATCTATCGAGTGCTGTGTCTCATTTCTTCTATCTGACTACATATTTGCACCCATTGATCAATGAACGTTTATACATTTCTGTATTATATTGGGACATCTGTTGTGTTCTGGGGCCTGCTCCATTCCCAGCTGTCCTGAGGGGCTTCCTTACCCACAGTCTACTGAGTTGTGTGTCTGGTGGCTCTGCCCCTGCCCTTGCCTGCTGGATTGACCAGGGTGGTTCCACAGTCACTCATGCTTTGTGGTGGGATGTAAGAGGCAGCAACAGTACTGCCCTCCCTCACTTCTGTATATAAATGATTCGACTCCTGGAACCATTCATGTGCAGAGCAACATTCATTTGCAGGTCTGCACCCCATGGTCCACACAGACCTGCCCATGAATGTTTTAGCTGCTTTATTCCTGATTGCCAGACACCAGAAACATCCCAAAGGCCCACCGATAGGGCAACGGGTCAACAAACCCATGACAACACACTGGAATACTACTCACCAAAGAAGGAACAAACCACCTGTGAATGCAATACCATGGATGCATCGAAAAACATTTGCTAAGTGGCAGAAGCCAGGTGCAGACGGCCACATCTGTAATTCCATCTGTGTGACGTTCGCAAAAGACAAAACTACAAGCTGCAAAGTGGATCAGCGCTGCCAGGGGCTAGGGATTGCAGGAGGAGACTGACCACAAAGGGTAGCATGGGTGAACTTTTTGGAATGATGGGCAGTTTTTCTATTATGGGGGTGGTTATACGACTATATACGTTTGGCAAAATTCATCCAGCTGTCTACCGTATAAGGATCCATTTTATTGTATGTAAAGCATACCCCACCTAAATCTGACCCGAGAAAAATTATCATGTAATGTAGAATATCCCTTTTACGGATCTCTATTTGAATATCTAGGAGTATATCCTTTGGATACATTTCCAGAAGTAGAATCATTGGATCCAAGTGCATGAACATTTTAAAATCACGCGTGTATTTTTACAAGGCCTTCTTTGGAGGAAGTGCTTTAAAGGAGTGTCCATGAGGCTTTCAGGAATCCTGGCACATGGAAGAGAGCGACCACGAGTGTTATGCAGAAGCGAGGGACGGCAGTACTGTTGCTGCCTCGTACATCCCACCACAAAACACAGCTGACTATAGGACCTCTCTGCTTCCTGACCTCTGAAGTGTCAGGAATATCCTGCCCCAGTGACTCCCATCACTCCACCCCGAAGGCCAGAGCTCAGCACTGCCCAGCGCGATACAACTGAACTTCCTGCCATGGCGGGAACTGTTCTGCATCTGCGCTGTCCCATACACTAGCCACAAGTCGCTACTGAGTACTGGAAATGTAGTTAGTACAAATGAGAATCTGAATTTAATTTTTTTTAAGTTTTGTTAATTAAAAATTAAATTTAAGGCCAAGCGCAGTGACTTATGCCTGTAATGCCAGCACTTTGGGAGGCTGAGGCAGGGAGATCACTTGAGGTCAGGAGCTAGAGACCAGCCTGGCCAACATGGTGAAACCCTATCTCTAGTAAAATTACAAAAATTAGCCAGTCATGGTGGCATACACCTGTAATCCCAGCTACTCAGGAGGTTGAGACAGGAGAATCGCTTGAACCTGGGAAGCAAAAGTTGCAGTGAGCCGAGATCGTGCCACTGCACTCCAGCTTGGGTGACAGAGTGAGACACAGTCTCTAAATAAGTAAATAAATAAATTTAAATAGCCACATGAAATAGGGCACAGTGGTTCATAGCCTGTAATCCCAGCACTTTAAAAGGCTGAGGCAGGAGGATTGCTTGAGGCCAAGAATGTGAGACCAACCTGGGGAACATAACAACAGCCCCATCTCTAAAAAATAATTTAAAAATTAACTGGGTGTGGTGGTACATGCTGTAGTCCCAGCTACTCAGGAGGCTGAGGCAGGAGGATCACTTCAGCCTGAAATGTTGAGACAGCAGTGAGTTATGACCATGCCACTACACTCCAACCTGGGCAACAGAGCGAGACCCTGTCTCTAAGAAAATGAATAAATAAATATCCAGATGGGGCTAGTAGCTATCATATTGGACAGTGCAAGTCTAAAACTCTAAATCTAGCCTCCCACTGCAGGAGAAATGGAAGGACCAATAAGTAGCTTGGCAGCCAGCATCCAGTGAGCCAGCTGCGGGGCTACTCTGACTCTCCCTAACCTTACTCTGAACACTGGGCCTTCTGCCTCATACCCCAGTACCAGGAAACAGAGTCCTGTTTTGCTCCCCATGCTGGAGTATCTGCCTCAGTCCTCCTCCCCTGCTCCCGAGCTCCTGCCCTGCTACCTACACCCTCCCCGAGAACAGGAATCCTGACCTTGGACCCTTTTGCAGGTTTGATGTCAGTGCTCCAGGTAACATCTGCACACACCTGGCATCCGCCTCTGGCCTTCTCGGGCTGTCTGCCCGCTGCCCGTATGGGTCTCCACATTCTTTACTGCCAGGACTTGGCCTCTGTGGGAGCCTGGATGGCTCAGTCAGCACTGGAAGCAGGATCTTTATGGCGGGGAAAAGAAGCTGGACCTCAACCCTTGTCACTGTCACTCATTACACTTGCAAAGAGGTGTGAGGATCTGGTGGGCAGCTCAGACTTTAAATAGCTCACACAGCCTTTAAAAGCTCTGAGTGATCTGGCCACCTTCACCTGTCTTGAGAGCTTCAGCCACTCCCCGGCCTCCAAAAATCCACAAATCTCTCGCCAAGTTGGACTGAGCTCCACCCCTCCATTTCCAGCAACCTGGACATCCCTACTGAATTTTCCACGTGTGCCTCCAGGCCACAAGCCTCAACATGGAACTCTCAGCTTCCTCAGAAGCACCCATGCAGTCTCCCAAACTGGCGAGCTGGGAGTCATCACTCCTCCCTGTCCTCCTCCATCCCCAGCCAGCTGGTCCCCAAACCCATAGACACTGGGTCAGAAATACCACTTGGGCGTCCTGCCCGACTGTCTCTGAGGCTTCCACCTCCTCCCTGAGCTTACTGCAGCCCTCCACCAACAGGCCTCCTTGCCTCCAGCCTCCACCTCTCCTGCCCTTCACTCTGCCCCAGGGTTGCCTTCCTGAGACCAGTCTGTTTAAGGCTATCAAAGGATCCATTCAAACCCTGCAGCCCTCAGTGTCTGACCTGCAGGCTAACTGTGCAGCTCTTCTCCCACCAGCCTCCCGGCTGCCAGCCCTCCAGCCGCTCTCCGAGGCGTGCATGCGGCACCCTTCGCCCTCTGTGCCCGATGCTAGCATGCCTCCCTTTATCCAGCTGGCAGTCTCACTCCTCCTTCGAGGCCCTCCAGGAAAGTTTCCCCAACACAGCCACATCTCTTTCCCCCAGCAGCCACAGCTCTTAAAGCCCTTGCACAGGTTTTTATTTCTCCACGAGTGGGAGTGCCTCCCACTAGACCCTGAGTTCCTAAAGGGCAGGAATCCAGACAACAGACTGATGATTAAGTGTGGGCTAGTAGTGGGGGTACCCAGAGCTGTGACTCCCATGGGGCCCTAGAAACCAGACATTAAGTATTGAAAATGGCTTTGGATCGTTACAGTAGGAGCCTACTTACAAAGACGCCTAGCATCCTGTTTCTCCGCATCATCTGCAGAGAACCGCCTCCATGGATCTGACTCAGCAGTGGTCCCAAGCATAGGTCTGGGGCGGCTCCCAGGAGATGTGTGCCGGCTCACCCTCCCTCCCGAGCCCGTCCTGCAGTTTAATCATGCTCTGCATCTATTCTAGGCCACGCTCATTTCCTGTGGTGGAAATGGGTTTTTGACAGTGTTCCTTTCATATTTAATCTCTCCATGCTAATTACAGCCAGTCCTCTTAGCTCAAGGATGGCTCTTCCTCTGTGTCAGACGAGCGGCTCTGCCAGCACACAAGCCCCGCCCCTTCAGGAAGCCCCGCGCCTGCCCGGCCCACCGGGCAGGAAGCTTCCCACTGCGGATGACTCTTCCCCGCACCTGCCCTCCAGGAAGGATGTGCAGGGACGCAGCCCTCCAGATGGGGTTTGCTAACCAAGGGGACACCTAGTGATGAAAGGAATGAAAAGCAACCGTGACAGGCCCAGAATGTTCTTTTGAGTCCTTCCTTTTTCTTTATTTTTCAGGGATTGTAAAATGTATTGTTTAGGATGAAGCACTACAGATCAGAGCCTCACCACGTGTTTTCGATCTGGTGTTTCTAGGGAAATTGGCTTTGATCGCTGTTTCAACTGCATTGGATCTATGAGGGCGTATTTAAAAACAAAACAAAAAAACTTCTTTTCCGAGTTCTCCATCATCATCCTCAAAACGTATTTTTAGACATCTTATAATTTGCAGGGCACAGTTAGCACTTGGCAAAATAGAGGCAACAAGAGGTTGGGGAAGGAATCTCAGCTCGTGTTCAGAAACTGCAGTTTCGTTCCCGCCCCATGGCATGTCTGTGTGGCTTTGGGAAAGTCAGCGACCTCTCTGAGCCTCAGTTTCCTTAGCTGTCACATGAGGCTATGGAACTACAAGAGCTAACATTGTATAAACAGGTGATAAATAGTCTTGCAATTGATTATTATATAGACGCCTTGGAGGCTGGTAGAAATGAGAGGGGCTGGAGGTGGAAGAAAAACAGAATTTGTCCCTGGTAAACTTTCTGGTGCATGAGCACTAGTCATGTGGGAACTGGGGAATGGACATTCCGTTTCCATTTTGCAAGGCTACCTATGAATTATGCATGTCGTACACACAGGCAAAAGGGATGGATAATTACTAGTTTGACCTCTGAGAAGACAGACACTGGATGAAGGAATGTTGTTTGCTAGAGAGGGTAGAACAGGGGTTTTCAGATCTATTTAATAAAGGAAGTTTACTAATCATCTAGTCTACACCCACCCACCGGACAGACCAATAAACCAACACCCAGAGTGATTTAAGTGATTGAATCAGGAGCACACCATTGGTTGTAAAGTCAGAGGAGTCCACTGCTAGGAAAAGCCATTCTAAAGAACAAGAAACCCATGACTTTTACAATCCAACTCATGCGATGGTAGAGAGTCTGGTTTCCACTTTCATGTTGACAAAAGTCATATAAAGCAACGTAAAAATGTGACAAATGTTACTAACCATTGTCTGTGCATGCTTCAGTCATAAGCAGAGCCTTGGATATCCTTGAGAGAACAGAACAGAGATGTGGTACCTAGGTCCCCAGAGAGAGGGAGAGTCGATTCTTGGGATGCTATTTGTTTCTTGGACACAGAGTCTAACCAAGGACAAAGGCTCATGTCCTCTAGAATTTTGGACTAAGCCACAAAACATTTTATTTTAAAATTTCTAATATTTTTATCCAACAAATAGAATGCCTGTACCACTGAATTTTCTCCCCAAGTTTTTGCACACTGAAGGAG